TTCCCAGCCCCGGGGATGGGCTGGATCCAAGGTCCCCACGGAGCAGCTCGTTAGCGATGGAGCGTTAATTACAGCCATTAAATGAACTTTCCTCCCAGTTCCTCTGTGGGGGGAATGATCCCACCCCAGGGTTCCCCCTCGTTGTGGGGAAACCGAGTCACGGCGAGTTTGGGAAAGGTGAATCCGGCCCTGCTCAGCTTTGGGGTGGGGATCAGGGATAAATCCAGTTTTTCCTAGGTTGGAAGAGGGAAAAGGAGCCCTGAGATCCTGGGGGTGGAGGCAGAGCCCAGAGTGATGAGATTTGGGGAGGGGACGGCCACATCCTGGTCTCCAGCCCCTTTCCAGCTCTTGGGCACAGGGATGGAGCTGAGGAGGGGTTGGAGCCTGGCCAGGATGATTTGAGGGAACGTTTTCAGCAGGACACCAAGGAGAAGCCGAATGAAGCAGCCACCAGGATGTGTGGGGAGGTTTTTATTGGACTCAGGGGTGTCAGGGAATTCCCGGTGGCCTCTGGAATATCTGCAGACACGAGACATCCCACGGGGACCCCAAATCCATCGGCACCCCACACCCCATGCAGACGCCGTTGGTGACGCTCCAACTGGGATAAAAGAGGATTTTTCCAGCCTGGAGAAGGTGGGAGGGGATGGAAGGGCTGGGGGAGAACCACCACAACCTCTGTTCCCTACGGGGAAAAAAAAAAGATGGAAAAATTAAATTTAAAAAAAAAAAAAAAGCACCACAAAAATCGATTTTTTCCAACCCCCAACATGAGAAGGAAGAGCCAAGATTTGGGGATTTTCCATGGACAAGGCATCCCAGGGAGGATAATGGATCCCATTACCTGCGGGACGGAGCCGGGGGTGGCCGGCGGGGCCGTCACTTCTCCGTCATCATCCTCACGAACTCCTCGTAGTTGACCTGCCCGTCGTTGTTGCAGTCGGCCTCCTTGATCATCTCGTCCACCTCCTCGTCCGTCAGCTTCTCGCCCAGGTTGGTCATGACGTGCCGCAGCTCGGCCGCGCTGATGTAGCCGTTGCCGTCCTTGTCGAAGACGCGGAACGCCTCCCGGATCTCCTCCTCGCTGTCCGTGTCCCTCATCTTCCTCGCCATCAGCGACAGGAACTCGGGGAAGTCGATGGTGCCGCTGCCGTCGGCGTCCACCTCGCCCACCATGTCCTGCAGCTCGNGATGTTCCCAAAGGCCCCAAGCCAAGGGGGGCTCAGATGATCCCACAGGATCCATTCCAGATGATCCCTATCCCAAATCCTGCACTGGATGAACCCCCAGATCCCATCCCAGGTGATTCCTGTCCCCATTCCCACACCAGATGATCCTACAGAACCCATCCCAGATGATTCCCTATCCCAAATCCCGCACTGGATAATATTCCAGGATCTATTCCAGGTGATTCCCTGTCCCAAATCCCACCCTGGATGAATCCCCAGGGCCAATCCCAGGTGATTCCTGTCCCAGATGGTTCCCAGTTCCCATCCCAGGTAATTCCCAGATTCCACACCAGATGACCCCACAGAAGCCATCCCAGATGATCCCTATCCCAAATCCTGCACTGGATGATCCTCCAGGATCCATTCCAGGTTATCCTGAACTCAGGATGATCTCCCAGATCCCATCCCAGGTTATTCCTATCCCAGGTCCTGGCTCAGATGATCCCACAGGACCCATCCCAGGTGATTCCTATCCCAAATCCTGCACTGGATGATTCCCCAGGATCCATTCCAGGTTATCCCTAACTCCAGATGATCTCCCAGGATCCATCCCAGGTAATTCCTGTCCTGGTTCCCGCACCAGATGATCCCACAGAACCCATCCCAGGTGATCCCAGATCCCAAATCCCACACTGGATAATCTTCCAGGATCTATTCCAGGTGATTCCTGTCCCAAATCCCGCACTGGATGAATCCCCAGGGCCAATCCCAGGTGATTCCTGTCCCAGATGGTTCCCAGTTCCCATCCCAGGTAATTCCCAGATTCCACACTGGATGATCCCACAGGACCCATCCCAGATTATTCCTATCCCAAATCCCACCCTGGATGATCCTCCAGGATCCATTCCAGGTTATCCTGAACTCAGGATGATCTCCCAGATCCCATCCCAGGTTATTCCTACCCCAGGTCCTGGCTTAGATGATCTCCCAGGATCCATCCCAGGTGATTCCTGTCCCAGTTCCCAGATCAGGTGATCCCACAGGATCCATCCCAGATGATTCCCTATCCCAAATCCCGCACTGGATAATCTCCCAGGATCCATCCCAGGTGATTCCTATCCCAAATCCCACCCTGGATGAACCCCCAGTTCCCATCCCAGCTGATTCCTGTCCCAGATGGTTCCCAGTTCCCATCCCAGGTGATTCCCAGATTCCACACTGGATGACCCCACAGAACCCATCCCAGGTGACCCCATCCCAAATCCCACCCTGGATGATCCTCCAGGATCCATTCCAGGTTATCCCTAACTCCAGATGATCTCCCAGATCCCATCCCAGGTTATTCCTACCCCAGGTCCTGGCTCAGATGATCTCCCAGGACCCATCCCAGGTGACCCCTGTCCCAAATCCTGCACTGGATGATCCTCCAGGATCCATTCCAGGTTATCCCTCACTCTGGATGATCTCCCAGATCCCATCCCAGGTGATTCCTATCCCAGATTCCACACTGGATAATCTTCCAGGATCCATCCCAGGTGATTCCTGTCCCAGTTCCCAGATCAGGTGATCCCACAGGATCCATCCCAGGTAATTCCTATCCCAAATCCCACACTGGATAATCTTCCAGGATCTATTCCAGATGATTCCCTATCCCAAATCCTGCACTGGATGAATCCCCATGTCCAATCCCAGGTGATTCCTATCCCAGATTTTCCCAGTTCCCCTTCCAGGTGATTCCTGTTCCCAATCCCATCTATCCATCCCCATCCCTGGGTGCAGGGAACACCCTGACCAAGCTTTAGGGTGGAAAATCGGGATCAGGGAGAAACCAGGGANCCCCAACCATTCCCCAATTCCATCAAAACCCCCCAAGGTCCCTCCCCTTCCCGAAACCTTTCCTTCCTCGTTTTTCCATGGAAAAGCTGGGAAGGGAAATCTGGGACTGGGGAATCACCCAGAGAAATGCTGAGCTCTGGGAGGAATCAGAGGCTGGAAAAATCCCAAAAAACTGGGAGGGAAACGATGCTGGGAAAAGCGGGATAATCCCTTTTTATTTCCCGCTCTGCACCCTGCCCTTATCCCGGAGCCGCCCGGGGCTTTGGAGGGGGAATTTTTGGGAGGAATTTTTGGGGTAAATTCCCACAATTCCCACAAAACCTGGGGATTGGGATGCAGGAGCTTCTCCCGCCGCTGGGCGGAGCTGCTGCCCCGGGAAAGCTCCGGGAACGGCGATTCCCGAATTCCCGCTGATCCCAAACCCGGCAAAAACCGGGAATTTCTGCTCCCCCGGATCCCAAATGCCCCTGATCCCAAATTCCCTTCAATCCCAAATCCCTCTGATCCCAAATCCCTCTGATCCCAAATCCCTCTGATCCCAAATCCCCCTGATCCCAAATCCCCCTGATCCCAAATCCCTGATCCCAAATCCCTCTGATCCCAAATTCCTGATCCCAAATTCCTGATCCCAAATCCCTCGGATCCCAAATTCCCTTCAATCCCAAATCCCTGATCCCAAATCCCCTCTGATCCCAAATCCCCCTGATCCCAAATCCCTCTGATCCCAAATCCCCTCTGATCCCAAATTTATTTTATGTTATTTATTAAATATATCATATTTATTTTAGGTTATTCATTATTTATTTATTATTTTTATTATATTTTATATTTTATTTTATATTTCATTTTATATTATTTCATATTTTATTTTAATTTCATTCTATTTTAATTTTTATTTATAATATTTTATATTATTTTATTTTTATTTTATTATTTTATATTTTATTTTATTTTATTTATTATTTATTGAATTTTTCATCCTATTTTAGATTTTATTTTATTTTATTTATTTATTTTATTGAATTTTTATCCTATTTTATATTATTTTTTATTTTATCTTTATTTTATTTTTTCTTTTTATGATTTTATTTTTTATTTTACTTTGTATTTGATTTTATATTTTATCTTATTTTATATTTTTTATTTTATTGTATTATTATTTTATTTTATTATTATTTTAATATTTTATTATTTTATTCTCCTTCCCAGAGCTGATTTGGGATCAGTTTGGGAATTCCAGGTGGGATTTTTGAGGAAAAAGTGGAGCTGGCAATGGGGGGGTGTGGAAATTTCAATTGTTCATCCCATTTGTGAAATTCCCATTTCTGGAATTCCCATTTCTGGAATTCCTGTTTGTGGAATTCCGGCAGCTCCAGCGGGGCTGTGACCCTGCCCGGCATTCTGGGACTTTGGGGGATTTTCCGAGGTTTCCTGGGAATTCACCCCATGGAATCTGCGGGTCCTGGCGCGGCTCCTGTGGGATTTGGGATCTTTCCCGATGTTCCCAAAGGCCCCAAGCCAAGGGGGGCTCAGATGATCCCACAGAACCCATCCCAGGTGATTCCTGTCCCAGTTCCCAGATCAGGTGATCCCACAGGATCCATCCCAGATGATCCCTATCCCAAATCCCACACTGGATAATCTTCCAGGATCTATTCCAGGTGATTCCTGTCCCAAATCCCACACTGGATGAACCCCCAGGGCCAATCCCAGGTGATTCCTGTCCCAGATGGTTCCCAGTTCCCATCCCAGGTGATCCCTCTCCCAGATTCCACACTGGATGATCCCACAGGATCCATCCCAGATGATTCCTATCCCAAATCCCGCACTGGATGATCCTCCAGGATCCATTCCAGGTTATCCCTAACTCGGGGTGATCCCATCCCAGGGATAGGGTGGCTCAGATGATCCCACAGGACCCATCCCAGGTGACCCCATCCCAAATCCCACCCTGGATGATCCTCCAGGATCCATTCCAGGTTATCCCTAACTCGGGATGATCCCCCAGGACCCATCCCAGGTGATTCCTACCCCAGGTCCTGGCTCAGATGATCCCACAGGACCCATCCCAGGTAATTCCTGTCCTGGTTCCCACACCAGATGATCCCACAGGATCCATTCCAGGTGATTCCTATTCCAAATCCCGCACTGGATGAATCGCCAGGTCCAATCCCAGGTGATTCCCAGATTCCACACTGGATGACCCCACAGAACCCATCCCAGGTGATTCCTATCCCAAATCCCGCACTGGATGATTCCCCAGGATCCATTCCAGGTTATCCCTAACTCCGGATGATCTCCCAGATCCCATCCCAGGTGATTCCTGTCCTGGTTCCCACACCAGATGATCCCACAGGATCCATTCCAGATGATCCCTGTCCCAAATCCCGCACTGGATAATCTTCCAGGATCTATTCCAGGTGATTCCTGTCCTGGTTCCCACACCAGATGACCCCACAGAACCCATCCCAGGTGACCCCATCCCAAATCCAGCACTGGATGATCCTCCAGGATCCATTCCAGGTTATCCCGAACTCTGGATGATCTCCCAGATCCCATCCCAGGTGATTCCTGTCCCAGTTCCCAGATCAGATGATCCCACAGGATCTATTCCAGATGATTCCCTATCCTAAATCCCACACTGGATAATCTTCCAGGATCTATTCCAGATGATCCCTATCCCAAATCCCACCCTGGATGAACCCCCAGGTCCAATCCCAGGTGATTCCTGTCCCAGTTCCCAGATCAGATGATCCCACAGAACTCATCCCAGGTGATCCCAGATCCCAAATCCCACACTGGATAATCTTCCAGGATCTATTCCAGGTGATTCCTATCCCAAATCCCACACTGGGTGAACCCCCAGGTCCAATCCCAGGTGATTCCTGTCCCAGATGGTTCCCAGTTCCCATCCCAGGTGATCCCAAATCCCACACTGGATAATCTCCCAGTTCCCATCCCAGGTGATTCCTATTCCCAATCCCATCTATCCATCCCCATCCCTGGGTGCAGGGAACACCCTGACCAAGCTTTAGGGTGGAAAATCGGGATCAGGGAGAAACCAGGGA